ATCTCCCACACTGGAGCAGACAGGTGTCTATTCACCAGGCATCTCCCATGCAGGAGCAGACAGGTGTCTATTCACCAGGCATCTCCCACACAGGAGCATGTTCACTGTGAGTGGTCTCCTAGAATACACAACAGCTGTGACAGACCCGTCACGCAGCCAGAGACACAGTAAAGGCGAGGCCAACTCACCTAAGTGAGGGAACAGGTCCGCGTCCAGCTGATGCTTTTGGGTACACAGTTTCACCAGTCTCCGCAGTCGGCTTATACAGGAGAAGTGTGGAGAGAAGGCGGTGGCTTTCATGAGGATTCGGTCAGTCCTGGGGGCGTCTGAGACGGGAGCCCGACTGGAGGATGGAAGGAGGGGCAGGGGCCTCTTGTGGGAGGCCTGCCTCGTTTGTGCTATCGAGTGTGTGGTGGGGGCCACTCCCTGCATTGGTAGGCTGGTGTTCTGAGGTTGAGGTGGCTTGCAGACTGAACCCTGCGGTGGCGCTGGAGGTTTTGAAGAAGTGGATAGAGGTGACAGGTGGGCGTGCGGCTGCGGAGGCGCGGGAGGGGTGCTAAAGTGCTCTTGCCGAACTTTCAAAATCTCTGTCTCTCTCTGGCGCTGCCGGTTCTGAGCCAGCTTGCTCTGCAGCTTCTTCCTCACAGCTGCCCCTTTCTTTAGGTCGTCCTCTTCCTCGTTGAAAGCAAAGGGGTCTTCCAACTCGGTTTCCAGGTAGTGGAGAGGGACCCTTGCCCCAGGTGGAGAGAGGGACATGCTATCCAGTCCATTGGGCATCTTCAAGGCCAACGTGGGCACCGTCAGGCTAAACGCCATGGCATCCATCTGGTGCCTGACCTTCACCTCATCTACCGGATCATTCTTTTTCTTCCTTTCTTTTTTCGGGATAAAGCCGAGTACCTGCAAGTGGCTGCTGCAGTACCTGAGAGAATGCACACGTGTCAGAGAAGGCTCTTTACACACACACATACATGTAGAAATGCACACACTGCAAAACCGGAATCCTGATACACAACAAATCAGACAGCCAGACCAGGTGTGGCAGCACAGGCCTGTAATCCCAGCACTTGAAAGGGTCAAGAGGATCAGGAGTTCAAAGCTAGCTTGTAGACCCTATCTTTAGAAACCACAACAAAAACAGTCATACAGCCAGCCAGCCAGCCAGGCGGTGTGGTGGCGCATGCTTTTAATCTCAGCACTCGAGGCGGAGGGGGGTGAATTTCTGAGTTTGAGGCCAGCCTGGTCTACAGAGTGAGTTTCAGGACAGCCAGGACTACACAGAGAGACCTTGTCTTGAAAAACCAACGAAACAAAGCAAAACAAAAAATGTACAGCTGGAAATACGGTAGCACAAGCCTATAATGCTAACGCTTAGAGTTAGGCAGGAGAACCATATGTTCAAAATCAGCCTGGGCTGCACAGCAAACGCTATCTCAAAACGAAATGGGAAGAGCAACTGTCATTATTCTCAAGCCATCCCCAACCAAGGTCTACGTAACTTTGATAAGGCGCATGATTGTTCAAGTGCAGAGGTCACCAGACAAAAGCAGGTCTGTCCACCGGTCAGCGGCCTGCCTGGACACTTGGCCACTATTTCTCACACAGCTTTGTTCTTCTCTATTCACAGCATACAAAATAACTCATCAAAAGTCTGAAAAAATCACCTGAAAGTTTCTTATGGAAAAAAGCATTATATTCCAAATGCTACTAAAGTTCCTGGAGAGTCTCCAAGGTCATGTAACATAACCCTGACACATGCCACACACACCCACACAAACGCCAAAACATACACATACACACACCAAATACATACATACCCACACATGTACACACTGACACCACATAAACACACCACACATGCGCGCGCACAGACACACAGACACAGACACACACACAGACACACACACACACAACACGCAGAGGCAGGGACGAAGAGTGGCTAGTGGCATGAGCATCTCAGTAGGCAGAGATGTGAGAACCCGGACTGTCTCCTGCAGCACTAGCTGAAGTAGTCACTAAAATAATTCAGGTAACTCCACTACATTTACAAAAGTGAATTTGCCCAAAAACACTTCCCAAATGGAAACTGACCAAATGGGGTATAAAAAAATCAAAGTTCATGATGACTTCAGTAACAGGCAAGCTACCTTTGTAACTTAAACACCATGAAGGATACAGTCCCTGTACATAATGAGAAAATAAAGACCTGTTATACCAATTAACCATACTAAAAACCTATCAAGGGTCTGTGGAACAGAATATTCTCCAATCTGTATTCTTCACACAGTTCCCACAGCACGTTAACAGGTGTGCCATCCAAATAGTACCCCACACTTAAGTCAATTTGGAAAATTATAGCTTAACCAAAATGACATAATAATTTTGTTGTTGCTTGTTTCTGCTGAAAAACTTCTCAAAGAATGATGTATAATAACGTGTATTATGAAGCTCCAAGAGGCAGATGTACCCTCTAGAACCTGTCAGTGTTTCCCAAAGCTGTCTGAAGGAGAGACCCACTCCTGAAGCAAGCATGTGACATCTCTGCACAGCACCGGGCAGATCATACATCATCCTACATAAAAGAGACTCCTAGGCAGGGCAGTGAGGAAGGCGGTGTCAGGAAAGCCTAGTGACGAGGAAGTTAAAAAGAAGAAGAAACAAGCCTGGGTACGGTGTACCAGCCTTCAATCCCAGCACTTGGGAGGCAGAGAGAGGCACGAGGACCAGGACTTCAGTCATCTTCCTCTACACAGGCAGTTCAAGCCCAGTCTGGGGGACTTGAAACACAGGATCAAAACAACAATCATAGAGGAAAACACAGTGGTCACACACAGTGCTACACTCATCATCACAGCTCCTCAGAACACCAAGGCAGGAGGATGACAAGTTTGAGGCTAGCCTGGGCTACATAGCAAGAACTTTATCTCAAAATAAAAAAGGGCCAGGAGAAGCTGAAGAGATGGCTCAGGAGTTAGGAGCACTGGCTGCTCTTCCAGAGGACCTGGGTTCAATTCCCAGCACCCACATGACAGCTCACAGCGGTCTGTAACTCGAGCTCCAGGGTACCTGACACCCTCACACAGGCAAAACACCAATGCACGTTCTTAAAAGGGGTGAGGGGGCAGCCAGGAGGGTAGCTCACCGACAGAGCAAGGCCTGGGGTCAACATCCCGGATAAAAGAAACAAAACAAATGTTCTTCAGCATTTGATGGAAAGATTGGTTTCTTACCAAAGAATGGTAAGGCAGAATCTTAATTTTAACTTACAAGTCAGGGCAAGAGAGGTGGCTAGGCGGTTAAGAGTATTTGCTACTCAGTCCTGAGGAGCTGGGTCTGCGAACAAACACCAATGCTGGGCACCTCACAAAAGCCTAACCAATCAACCATCCCCCTCAGGCAGAGAGGTGGATTTGTATTTGCATATTTCCATGCTGTGTAGAACTAAGTGAACATTCTAGTTCAGTTAGGAAGACGTTTCCCTCTTTAAGAAACAGCTCAAGCCAGGCAGTGGTGGCACAAGCCTTTAATCCTAGCACTCAGGAGACTGAGGCAGGCGGATCTCTGAGTTTGAGGCCTGGTCTACAGAGTGAGTGCCAGGACAGCCAGGGCTACAGAGAGAGCCCCTGTCTCAAAGACCAAAAAAAAAAAAAAAAAAAAAAAAAAAAAAAAAAAAAAGCCAGGCGGTGGTGGCACTCGCCTTTAATCCTAGCACTCAGGAGGCAGAGGCAGGCGGATCTCTGCGAGTTCGAGGCCAGCCTGGGATACAGAGTAAGATCCTGGGATACAGAGTAAGATCCAGGAAAGGCGCAAAGCTACACAGAGAAACCCTATCTCCAAAAAACAAAAAACAAAACAACAACAACAAAACACACAAAACAAAAACAAAAAAACCCAAAAACGCAGACCTCTCTTCTGCCCTCACTAGTAAGACAGTACTTGCTTTGAATCAAATGGAAACGAAGCCAAGGAGGACAGAGGCACACTACAGAGATGCATTTGCAGCAGAACCTGAGTGAGCCACACAGAGGTTCGCCGTAGAGGCGGGGTAAGGCATTACCCACCCCTCAGTCCCCGAGAACCGAGTGCACAGTGTTTAATACGAGGTTAGGAAGGTCAGCGCTTTCTTTCTTACTGTGCTAAGCACCTGTTTCTGAGTTTCAGGCACTGTAATCTGAGCCACGTGCTCACCAGAAGTTCTAAAAGAGAGCCCCCAATCACCGCACGTGCGCACTCTGGCAGGCTCTCAACCTACAGAATTATTCATTCCACACTGAAAACAAAAGATATTCATGACATAAAGAATATTCGGTTCTTTTTTGGCCAGTTTATGGCAGATCGACATTTGCTTACTTTAAAGAACAAGGACAACAAACAAACACGGAGGGAATGTGTGTCAAATTTTCTACCCTAACACAGCATCTAAAACTGTATTCCAGAATGATCTCTGTGATCAGAGAATGGGAAGAGGTGTGAAGGACTGTAAGTGAGTATTGTTCTTAAGAATGTAAAAGATAACCAATTACAACCCATTTCCTAAAAACAGCACAAAGTAGCCGGACGGGGGTGGTGCACACCTTTAATCCCAAGCACTTGGGAGGCAGAAGCAGATGAGTTCAAGGCCAGCCTGGTCTACAGAACAAGTTCCAGAGCAGCCAGGGCTACACAGAGAAACCCTGTCTCGAAAAAAAAACAAAACAACAAACACAATGCACAATGTAAAGGAAAATAGCACAGTGTTTTTAAAGTATAAATTCACAAATTCTAGCGACAAGTCTGCCCTTAAAGTGAAAATACAGCCAAAGGGGGTGAGGGATGGGGGCGAGGCAGGGTGGGGTGGGGTGGGGTGGGGTGGGGCGGGGCCGGGCGCCTAGCCAAGCTCCATAGAGCCAGAGGCTCCTAGAGGCAGCAAAGGGCGACCCTGGGCACAGGGATGCAGCTTTGAGAGTCCCAGGTTGTCCTGCCCCCTGGCCTGACTTCCCTCCACTGTGGCACTCTCCTAAGGAGCCAGCCCCACCCTAAAATGAAGCCTGGCTGCTTCGGGCTCGCCTTCCCGTAGTGGCTGATGCCAGTCCCTAGGCCCCGCCTCTTCCGACCACCGAGGCATTCCTGTAACTTGAAGAGGGTCTCCTGCTTCCAGGTGGACCAGCCCTTTCAGGATGACTCCAGCCCCACCGCCTCTGCCAGACTGCCCTCCTTATTCTGTAATAATGGCCTCAGGAAGGGCATCCTGAAGCCAAATCCCTTCCACCCAACCTAGCGCTTCCTGCAAGCCTAGGGAGCTCTCCATGGCCACAGCTTAGGTAGGGACACGAAGGAAAAGATCCGGGAGTCTGACCTCCACTGGGGTGGAGAGAGGTCATCTGCTAAGACACAAAGCAAACCACCAAGATCCTTAATGGAAGGTGTGATGCCCTTAACTGCCCTGGTTCGGACTCAGTCCTTGACACACCCTGCTCCAGCAGGTCTGATGAGAATGTGGTAAGGACGGAGACCCCAGCTGTCCTGGGCCCTGCTCCATCCCCAGGGCTGGCTCAGGCCTGGCCCATCACAGTGGGCTGGTCACCCCTCCCTCCGGCTGGAGAACTGCTTTACAAGTGTTTCTTGAACCCTAGGCTTAGCTCTGTGTGGTCAGTATCTGGCCTCTGCCAAGAAGGTTCCACATATTGTACGTGGAGACTTGTGTGGTACATCTCCTTAGACAGCAGACCCAGAAGGAAGCAATCTCTATGGCTGGAGCCTGAAGAAAGGAGAAGGTATACCAAGAGATGAGAGCAATGAGTCTCTCCGGCCTGGGGCAGAATGTTCTGGGCAGTGCTGTTTCACAGAACTTTGAGTGACAGACGGTTTTGTAATACACCCCCATGGGGAGGGCATGGGGGGGGCACCAACCCGGTGGAGTACTGTACTAAGCAAACACCTATGAGGACCATTTCCAGCTTAAAACTGAGATTCCCTCCCTCCCTCAGTCTCCATGACTAGACTCCCCGGTGACTAAATGACTTCCAAGCCCCCAGAGGGTTTGTTTTGTTCTCTGACACTGTGACATTATCCTGTACGATAATAAGGATTCAAAAAATAATTGTTAAATGAAATTTGAAAATGCTAGAAAAATATAAAGAGGATAATTAAATTATATTTTTTAAGTGAAAATACAATTCATAAGCATGATGCATATGGGACACTTTTTAACCATAAAAGGCCACATTAGTAAACAACGTCAATCATGACTTAGATATCTGTTATGGAGCAAATCTAATGAATGTTTCATTATTTTAAATTCTTTTCCAACTAATACATCTTTTTGTTTGTTTTTTTTGTTATTGTTGTTTTGTTTTCAAGACAGGGTTTCTCTGTGTAGCTTTGCACCTTTCCTTGAACTCACAGAGATCTGCCTGGCTCTGCCTCCCAAGTGCTGGGATTAAAGGCATGCGCCACCACCGCCCAGCCCAACTAATACATCTTTTATTACCTTTCATGAAGGCATTTTTTCCAAAACCCAGATGAACTCTGATGGTAGCACTTAGCTAGTTCCTACCCTGTGGCACCCACAGGCAGAGGGAGAGACCAGCAGGTCCTTTGGTGGCAAGAGCTGCCAGTAGTTTCCAGGGGGAAACTAAAAGTCTATGAAATCAACAAAGAAGAAAATACTCAGACACACTTTAAAATGCCCCCTGAAATGTTCTTTCTTATGCTGAGAACTACTCCAAAGTTTCCTTGGACAGCCGCAGGACTCCACATTGAAATTGAACACACTGTAAAGAAGCAGGAGTGTCGGAGAGACAAAATTCCAAGAGTGCCCGCACCCCGGCCGGCCCTGGAAGCGCTTACCTCCGATCCTCTGACTTGGGAATGGGGTTGGTGCAGCGCTGGCTGTTGTACTTGGCCACATAGTCACATTGCTTGAAGGGGGCGCTCTTGTCTTCCAGAACGTGTCTGATGCAGAAAGCGTAACCGTTCAGTCGCCGCTGTTTGCACAGTTTGGGGCTATATGAGCACAAGGGCTTATTGTCAACCTCAGAGAAGTGTATATGTTTCCCTTCATACATCACGTGACTCTATTCCTCGTGAACATCAGCTAAAAGGCCACCACAAAAAAGAAACCCAAATGATAAACAAATCAGAGAGTGTAAGGCAGACTCGAGCAGAGAATTTCACTGAGGGACTTGTGGCCTCTCAGCCATACCTGATTTTAAATCTTCTGCACCACAGCAATGTGAAGAGAGCCCAGGGGGACCACAGTTTGGAATGCTCTCAACCAAGAGGAAGCAGATTGTCTACAAAACATCAAAGGCCTCGTTAACACAGATAAACAAAACCAGCTCACCCAGGACATAAAATATTTCCACATCACCCTTCTTAACGGATGGAATGAGAATCGAATATTCCAAGGATGAGATCCAACAGGAAACAGGGAGTTGTAAGGATTATCTCACCCTCCAAAATTGAACCAAATCATCTTTCCTCTGTGACGGGCTCAAAGTGGCTCACAGCAAGAGCCTCTTCCACCAAGTGAACTCCACCAGGGTCCACACCTGTAACCCCAGCACTTGGGAGGCAGCGGAAGAAGGACCAGGAGTTCCAGGTCATCCTCAGCTACACAGTAAGTTTGCATCAGCCTGGGCCACATAAGTAAGGGGGTGGGGGGAAGGATGGGAGATGGAGAGATGGCTCAGCAGTTAAGAGCACGGGCTGTTTTTCCAGAGGACCTGGGTTCAATTCCCAGTACCCAAAGGATGGCTCACAAGCATCTATAACTCCAGCCCCAGGGCCTCCACTAGTCACCCATGTGGTGTACAGACATACATGCAATACCCAAACACATAAAACAAACAAATAAAATTTTTCAAAAATAGGTTCTTTACAAAGTACTACATTTTTTGTTACATTGACAAAATACTTAGCAATCTGTTAAAAAATGTGTCTATGAAATGCAAAACCACGCTGTTTATGGTATCACACACCTATAATCCTAGCATTTGGGAAGGTGAAGCAGGAGGATTACTTTGAGTTCAAGGCCAGTCTGTTTTATATAGAGACTAGCCACGACATCCAGGGGTATACAGGAAGAGCGTATTTCAAAGAAACAAACTAGCTTCTGGTAAAGGATGCTTGCTGCCAAGCTTGACCCGAGTTTGCTCCTCCCGATCAACAGAGTGAAAGGCAGAACTGACTCCTCCGAGTTGTCTTCTCATCTCCATACCTGTCCATGGCATGTGTGTGCACAGAAGCACACACAGACAGAATAAAGAAATAAACGTAATAAAAATCAAAGAGGAGGAGGTAGGAGGTGGGGGCAGGCGGTGAGGTGGCCCGGTGGGGAAAGGCACCCGCTGCCCAAGCCTGCTTACCTAGGTCAGTCCCGGGAACCCACATAAACGTGGCAGGAGAGGCCTGACGCCCACAAAGCTATTCTGACCTCCACATGCATCATATACACAGTGATAAAAGTGAATAAAAATTTTAAGTCAGGCATGATGGTATTCACCTGTAAACTCTCAGCTCTTGTGGAGTAGAGGCCAGAAGAGCAGGAGTTCAAGGCTAGCCTACACTATGTGAGATTTAAAAAACAAAAAACAAGCCAAGTGGTGGTGGCGCACACCTTTAATCCCAGCACTCAGGAGGCAGAGGCAGGCGGATCTCTGTGAGTTCGAGGCCAGCTTAGGCTACAGAGTGAGTTCCAGGAAAGGCGCAAAGCTACAAAGAGAAACCCTGTCTCGAAAAACAAAACAAAACAAACAAACAAAACAAAAAAAAAGAAGAAGAAGAAGAACAAAACAAAACAAAAACCAACAGGTTGGGGAGTTGGCCCAATGGATAAGGCACTTACTGTAGAATCATGAGGACTGGAGTTCAAATACCCAAAACCCATACAGATTCAGGTAAGTGTGACAACCCACCTGTAATCCGTACAGTTAGAGAGCAAACATAGGGGACCCCTGACCAAACTGGCTAGGGGAACTAGCAGTGTAGGTGAGCTCTAGGTTCAACTGAGAGAGCCTACCTCAGTGTATGAGGTAGAGATCAACTGAGGAAGACACCTGACATCACAGAGACAGCTGACCCAAGCTAGCGGAAGATCACGGACTCTAGACTGACAGCTGGGGAGCCTGCATAAGTCCGAAGAACTAGGCCCTCTGAATGTGGGTGACAGTTGTGTGGCTTGATCTGTTTGTGGAGTATGGGGGTCCAGAGGCTTCCTAGGGAGACCTTACTCAAGGTCAGAGAGGCTGAGCTTGCTTTACCCAGGAGGGCTGCATAATGGGATGATCTGGCCACCAGCGTGTTTACCAGGTGTTTGGAAGGGTCTACACCTGGCTTTGATCTTGAAAGGGGGAGGTTCTCACCCCTTGGCAGTGTATAAAAAGTCCATTAGAATAAAACTCTGGGCGGCCGGATATTGACCCGGGGCCCTCCCAAAGCTATCCTGTGACTGTCTTTCATGTCATCTCTACCTATATTTCTATCTAATACTTCCTCATTTCTCTCCTCCGCACCCCCCAAAGAATCCTCCAACAGGTCGTAGCTGGACCCAGACAGTGAGGTTCCTGGCAGTGGGACCAGGACTTCCCCCAGATGCATGAACTGGCTTTTTGGAGCCCATTCCCTATGGTGGGATAACTTGCTCAGCCTTGATGGGGGGGAGGGGCCAGGCCCTGCCTCAACTTGGTATGCCAGACTTTGTTGACTCCCCAAGGGAGGCCTTACCCCCTCAGAGGAGTGGATGGCGGGAACTGGGACTGGTATGTAAAATGGAAAAAAAAAATAATTTAAATTAAAAAAAGAAAAAAGTATGTTATTTAGGGGTTGCCAAGGTGACTCTGTGGACAAAACATCTGCCACCAAGCGTGACAATCTGAGTTCAGTCCCAAGGACCCACACGGTGGGAGGAGAGACCCAGTCCCTGAAAGTGATCCCCGACCCCACACACCCACCACGGCACTCCTGTGTGAACACACACACACATAAACACTATTAAAAAAATTAACTCTACTTCCTTTCTAATAGTCTGTCTGCCATCCCCGTCCCATCCAAACCTGAACCTGTTGAGATCAACTATTGGTTCCTCAACCACATTTACACCATTCAGTTCGGTGCTCCCAACAGTCAGTTACGAGTACAAATCACGGTTTGGATCTTTTGATAGACAAATTATACAGTATCTGCTACAAAATACACACAAAGACCAGAGGTAGCGCTTACATAACAACAAGCTGAACCTAACTTAGGAAGTCAGTGTCAGTGAGCGGCCAGAACCTCAATTCCCTCCCAAAGTCACCTGGAGGGTAATGCCACAGCTTAGACATCACTTTTTGAAAGTCAAGAAATACCATTCCTTTAAAAACTTGAATATGGGGGCATGGTGGCACACGCCTTTAATCTTAGCACTAGAGGCAGAGAGATCTCAAGGTCAGCCTGGTCTACAGAGTGGGTTCCAGGACAGCCAAGGCTACACAGACAAACCCTGTCTCAAAGTGGAATATGGGGCTGGAGACTCAGGTGGTAGAGTGCTGGCCTGAGCCCTGGGTTTAATCCCCAGCACTACATAAAATAAGCGTGGTGAGATAGGCTTGCAAAGCCCAGGCCTATCCCTAAAATCTCAGCACTCTGGAGATGGACACAGGAGGATCAGAAGTTCAAGGTTATGAGAGCCTGTCTAAAAGAAAAAAGAAACAAGCTCCAATGCTGCCAGAGCAGCGCAGTGGCCGCAAAACAAATGCTCAGCATGTGCAAGGCCAAGGTTTAACCCCCAGCACCGGAAAACAAGATGGAAGGAAGAGAGAAGAGAGGGAGGGAGGGAGGGAGGGAGAGACACTATGCAGATATCTGCGGCAGAAGAAATGGATGTTCAAGTCCAAAATCGACCATGTCCTGTGTTATCTTCAACAAATCATCTACACTTTTGGAATCTCAGATTTCTCATCTGTGAAACAGGGATAACAGGGGTTATATCCTCAATAGGTTCTAAGGATCCAAGGGCACCACATAGACTGAACTAAGGACCATGGCTAGCACGTGGTAAGCTCTGGAGAAACAGAAGTTATTCACAGATGTTAACTGTATGGCATGTTTCTGTCTTTTCACAATAACAAGAGATGCTCTATGTTTCTGGAGAAGAGTACTCAACCGCACAGAAGGGTCAAATGCAGATTCTAAAGCTCCATACAGTCTGGAACAATGAAATGAACTTTTCTACAGAGTCAGGGTCTCAAACTTCACAAACACAAAAAAACCCAAAGTATTACTGTAGTTAGTAACACTGTATGAACTAATAGACTTAGCCACACACAAATGCACAGCAAAAATACGAGCTCTCTCTTTTTACCTTATTAGGGCACAAGAAGAATTGAACTAAAATGTGTTGAGTTCCCCCAGAATGAGGGTGCCACCCAGGTAGAACAAGAATGGTTACCCAAGAAAAAGGATGTGGAGCCAATCCCTAGGGGAGTGAAAGAGAAAAAGAGGGGTATGGTGATATATTGCTTGTAATCTAAAAAATAAAAGCTTGCCTGAAGATCTGACAGAGCCAGCCACAGAGCTAGCCAAAGAGGTCAGGCAGTGGTGGCACAGGCCTTTAATCCTAGCACTTGGGAGGCAGAGATGTGTCTGGGTCTCTGTGAGTTCAAGGCCACACTGGGCTACATGAGATTAATCCAGTCTAAAAGAAAAACAGCCAGGCAGTGGTGGCACACACCTTAACTCAAACACTTGGTTTCACTCACCTTTAATCCCAGCACTAAGAAAGTTGAGACAGGACGTGATATGGCTGGGCAGAGAAAGGAATGTAGGGCAGGAGGAGACAGGAACTCAGGTGTTTTCAGGCTCTTGCAGGTTATGAGTTGGTGAGTTAAGAGGTGGCTTGTTCTGCTTCTCTGATCTTTCAGCTTTTACCCTGATACCTGGCTCCGTGTTTTTATTAAGACCAATTATCATTCATGCAACAGAGGGGTATGGGGGAAATCAATCAGTCAGTTTCAGGGGCTAGCATAAACCAGATGTGCAGCTGGCACACACCTGAAATCGCAGCACTCATGAGGCAGAGGCAGAAGGATCAGAAGTTCAAAGTCATCCTCAGCTATACGCTCAGTTATGGGCTAGCTTGGTGTACAGGAGACACTGACTCAAAACAAACATACAAACAAAAATTCTACTTGCCCTAAAGGTCTGGGTCCTTAACATCTTTGAATGTTTACATTCCGTGCCACTCATCCATCAATGAATCATTCATGAAATTAATTCAAGTCTATGTGAAGATCTACTGGGTTTGTTTTTTGTA